ACACCCCTTCCCGAGGGGCTGCCGGGGAGACACCGACCATGGGGATGGAGCGGGATGCGGGGGCGGGCGGGGAAGGGGAGTCGAAGTCCGTGAAAAAAAGGCAGTGCTGGACATCCCCTCCAATGGACGCGCTGACGGGATTCCTGCCGGGCTGCTGTGCCCTGCAAGGCTGGGCTCCCCGAGCGGCGCTGCGCTCCGGACTGCTCCCGACATCCCAAAACACAAGGGGGGGGGGAAGAACTGAAGACCTCACTTTGAGAAGTACCGCATGGAGCAAGACCCTCGCCCGCTGCGCCGGGGGTCCGGCGGGCCCTGCTCGGCGGCAGCCACGCCCCAGAGCACGACTACAAGCCATGGTTCCTGACTCCAGTAGTGGGAAGCAGCTTGCGCAGCGCGGCGGCGGCGGGAGGGGACACTACTCTAACCAGGACTGATAACACGGTTGGCCCAAAGCGACACTGTAAGCAGAGCTTCTCAGCAGAGCCACGACTCGAACACACATTGCTGACTACTGGCTCTGGAGGGGCGATGTGGGTGGGCTGTGGGGACCCCGAGCCCCTGCCCTCCCGCACGGAGACCCAGGAGGGCAAGGGGAGGCAGCCCCACGGCCCTGCACGTCACCCAGGCGCTGCCCGGGGTTGGCATCTCTTCGTGACACCCTTTCGCTTGCTGCGGCGCTGGTGACCGGCGTCTCCAGGCAGTCTGGAAACGGGACTGCAGCGCAGGGCAGGGCGGGGAGCAGAGCCCGGGCTGAGCAGCCTCCCAGGAGCCGCGAGCAGCCGGGTCCCCCCCGGGCTGCCCCCCTTGCCGAAGCATGGCGAGGGTCCAGGCCGCAGCACCCGGGTGTGAGGGCAGAGCCCTGCCCAGCAGCACATCCCAGCCCCGCGGGACCCAGCACCTCGGAGGCAAGAAGCTCCCCCAAGCTGGGGAGAGGCACCCGGGGGCTGCTCCATGGGAGACCCACCTGCCCCCGGCTTCACCGCTTGGCACTCGTCACAGCAGGGGGACCCTGCCCGGGACCCCCAGGTCCCGGCACGGTGCCCCAAGGGACCCCCCAGGGCCTCAGGGAGTGGGGACCTGGCCCTGGGTACCCGCGCTCTGCCTGCCCGGGGAGACCCCGCCATGGGCTCCAGCCCCCTCGCTCAGCCCTCGGCAGTGGGCCCCGGGGGCTGCCTCTCCCTCCTCTCCCAAAAAGCGAAAGCACTGGGCAGAGCTTTCCGGGGATCAAGGTGGGCATGTGGTGGCTGCTGCTGCGAGAGGATGAGCCTGGAGGAGCCGCCAGCGGCGGCCTGGCCCCGAAGAGAGGCTGTGGGGCGCGAGGGCAGAGCACGGCGGGGCCCGGCCCCCAAGGAGCGGTTGCGGGAAGCCGGGCTCCCCAGGGAGGCCGGGGTGTGGACGAGGGCTCTGACCCGTCCCGCTGCCTCCAGGAGGGCAGGACTCAGGAGGGATGGGATGGAGCAAGGAGGGGAGAGCCCAGGCAGGGTCCCCACCTTGGGGGCAGTCAGCAGAGCCCCCTCCTCATCCAGCCGGGCCAGCTCTGGGGTTACCCCACACCCGTCCCTGCTGTGCCCCCGTGCCCGGAGCAGCCAGTCCACGTCCCCAGGCACTGCCTCTCACCTCTTCTTCCATCCGATGAAGCCGGGCCTTCGCCAGGCGCTCTGCCTCTCCTGCCACCTCTGCTCTCCTGCCACGGGTGCCACCGGGGTGCCTGGGTCCCTCCTGCCTGTGCACGGCTGCCGCCGGGGGCTCACATGTTGGACAGGAGTTTGGGCTTCCCCGTTTCCACCTCGGGGCTGAAGGCCACGGAGCCCTTGCGGGAGGGACCTGCTGCCTGCCTGGACGCGGAGACTGGGGACTGCGGGGTGGATGCTCCCGCCACGGAGCGGCTGGGTTGAGCCAGCGATCCTGAAGGCATCTGCTGCGGGTGTGCCGGCTGGCCTGGAATCCCCGGACATGGCTTGGCGAGGAGTCCGGCTACCGAGGGAGAGGATCTGCGGGCCAGGTTCCCTGCAGATTTCCTGCCCTGCTGCAAGGAGCTCCCGTCGGCTTGCTGGGCCACTTTATTGGGAAGGGAGGGCTGGGAGGCGGAGAGGAGCCGGACGTCCTGGGTGAGCCGCCCCACAGGCAGGCCTTGGATGCTCCTGTGCTTCACCAGCTGCTGGGGATGCATCAGAAGAGAGATGTGGGAGCCGGTGGCTCGGGACAGGCTGTAGTGGAGCGTTCTCCCCGCCGGCAGCGCCTGCTCCGAGCTGGGGGACGGAGCCCCCGCCGCCTGCTGCAGCAGCGAGGTGGAGACCGAGGCGCCCCGGGACTTGGAGAGCTGGGGCTGGGAGCCAGCCGGGGGCTGCTTGGCCGCCGTCGGCAGCTCCCCCTTCTGCGCCGCGCGCGGCAGGGGCTGCGCCCCGTGGCTTGGTCTCTGGGCCCCGCTCTCCAGGGGCGCCTGGGACTGGACCATGGGGGAGGAAGGCGAACCGGCGGCGGGCGTCTGGAGGTGGGACTGCGCCCCTGACGGGGAGCTCACGGAGGAGGGCCGGGAGCCCCCCAGGCTGGGCTGGGACCTGCGCACCTGCTTGGTGAGCAGGGTGGCCTCAGGTGAGAGCGGGCTGGAGATGGAGGAGGGCGGCAGGAAGATGTGAGCCTGCAGGCTGTGCTGGTGAGTCAAGGCAATGGCCACGTTGGTGGTGGCGGCGGCTGTCTGCAGGGGCGCGTGCACCAGTGGCTCCCAGATCACCGGCTTGCCGCTCAGCTCCCGGCCCATCGCCATCTGCTGCAGGTCCTGGATGTTGTGGGCCATGTCCTGGTCATGCTTCATGATCTGCTGGATCATCTCGTTGTTCATGGGCCCCGCACTGTGCTCGGCTCGCTTGCGGAGCAAGATGGAGTTCTTCTTCCCTGGGTTGGAGGCAGCAGTGTCACCGATCCTGGGAGCGCTGGCTCTCAGGGACACTGGGGAGGGCAGGGTGACAGTGGGGAAGGGACAGGAAAACCTCACCAGTGTGCCGAAGGGAAGCAAGACCCTGGGGAGGGTCCGGGCTGGGGCAGAGGGAGAAGCAGGGACAAAACAGGGGAGTCCTGGCTCCAAAGGCTCCAGGCTGGGGTCTGTGGTCCTGTTCGTCCTCCGCAGGTGAGGGGGCGGTGAGGACGAGCAGCCGGCCAATGGCGTTGCCTGTATCTTGCCTGGGAGGAGAGAGGGATCCTGGAGGCAGGCTCCTTCCCTGTGCTCCTTCTCATCCTCATTGCTGGGGACCCATGGGGCTGGGGTGCCGCGATCCACGGGGTCTGTGATGCCGTCACCCATGGGGTCCATGATGCCGTCACCCATGGGGCTGGGGTGCTGTGGCCCCGGGGAGCAGGCGCAGAGGTGGCCATGCTGGGTCCGGGGGCTGTTCCTCACCTATGCGGTCCAGCCGGTCCATGGCCACCGTCTCAAAGGCCCTGCGCATCATGGGATACTCCTCCAGCACCTCATTGAAATTATCCACCGACAAGGAGTAGAGGCGGCAGTAGGTGTCGGCTCGCACGCTGGCAGTCCGCCTGCCCCGCGTCAGCAGGCAGATTTCTGCAGGGAGAGAGGTTTGGGTGTCAGGATGACACAGCCATCCGTCCCCTTCCCAACAGCCTCCCCTGATAACGGCAGCCGGAGGCGGGGACAAGGCTGCCCGCTATTCCCACACCCTGCACAGAAACAGAGCACGACTCAGGAGGAGGGACAGACCCGGGAGCCGGGAAAGCCACGGCCGTGCCCTCGGCCAGGCACAGCCTTTTCCTCCCTCCCCGGGCCATGGAGACACCCCTGGGCACGGCTGCTGTGGTCGCCTGGCCTGCTTCTCTCCCAAACCCGTGCTCGTAGCCTATCAACTGGCTCAGGTGCTCAGCACCAAGCCACCCTCCTCTCCGGCCAGAGGCGGGGGGGGTGGCTGCCCCCTCTGCCCCAGGCAGCCAGAATTCAGGGCTCTGACTGCCGGACCCTCTGATTCAATCTGCTGAACAAGGTACCCCGTAAGAACAAGAGGGGTGGACTTCGGGGCCCCAGAGCCCGGTGTGAGGTGATGCCAAGCCGTTGGCACTGGGCAAAGGGGATGGCAGAGGGTGCAGCAGGCAGAAACATCAGGGATGCCCCGGCCCCTGCCCCCCGGCAGCTCTTGCTCCCCTCTGCTCTCCAGCTCCCCCAGCCCAGCCTCACCCCCAAAGTAGGAGCCATCAGACAGCTTTGTCTCCTTGTTGCCCTTGGTGAGGATGCTGACCACCCCGTGCTGGATGAAGTACATCTTTTTGCCCACGGTGCCCTCCCGGATGATGAAGTCCCCGGGCTGGAAGACCTCAAAGCGCAGCTTGGTCAACATGGCTGTCACAAAGTTGGGGTCCGCATTGGCAAAGAGGGGCATGTTGGCCACCAGGTTGCGGCAGTTGAAGTTGATGATCTCCTGTGGGGTGAGGAGCAGGTCAGCGGCGACATCGCCGAGCCTGACCCCAGCAAGCACCGGCCCCCCTCCCCAAGTCACCAGCACTGGGGTTGCCTGCCCGTACCTCTTTGAGCGGCTCACTGAGCTCCCCCAGGATGTTCTCCTCGTCGAACATCTTGCCCTGGTAGCGGTGCTCGTAGTACTCGTGGATCCGCTGACGCGTGTCCCCAGGCAGCTTGTGGAATGACATGTACTGCTCCACTTGCTTGTACTGTGGGGACGAGGCAGAGCCACACAGGGCTGCGCTGACACAAGCTGCACCACGCCAGAGGCCGGCAGCGCTGCCGGCCAACGCTTTCCCTCTCCTTGGTGGTGAGAAGGAGCTGCTGCCGGAGCTGGGATCCAGCCACCCCTGCTCCAGGGCCCTGTCCCAAAGGCCACCTCGGGGGCAGAGGACGGGTTCCCCGTGCGCTCAGGGTGCAGAGGGTCACAGGGCAGAGGTGAGGGTGGTGGCCTCACTGTGCTGGGGTGAGCGCCAGCATCGCGAACGGGGCGTCTCTGGCCACGCGGGCAGCCTGACCCCAGTCCCGCACCCCCCGGCTGAGTGGCAAGGGCAGAGATCAGGGCAGGAACCCGCCAGGCAGGGCAGCCCGTGCTGAGCAGGTTTTGGAGCTGGACCCACTGGTGCCAGGGTGTCCTCCCCCAGTACCCAGGCACTCACTACCCGACCCTGCTGACCTTCTCCTGGTACTGGCGCCGGGATGAGTCCAGCGACTGGATGAGGGCGGTGGCGTGGCCGATGAACATGGCGTAGCAGGTGGCCCCCACGATCATGCTCAGCATCGTGAGCCAGACATCGGTCATGCCCTCGGGCGCCTGCTGGCCGTAGCCAATGCAGAGCATGTGGCTCATGGCCTTGAACAGGGCGTGCGAGTACTGCTTCCCCCAGGAGTCGTTCTGCAGACGAGGGAACAGCAGCGCTGGGGGGTCTGCCGGAGGGACCCGCTGGGCTGAACCCTCCGGTCCCCCCTCCCCAGAGCCAGGGAGTCCAAAGCCCCAGTGAGGGAAAGGTTTCTGACGTGTCCAAGCCCAAAGGGCAGAGCTCTGCTCTGGGAGGAGGCGCTGGGGACCGTGCAAAGCCCCGAGCCTGCGCCAGCCCCTGCTCGGGGGAAGAGGCAGGAGCCCCACTGCCCTGTTCCCTCCTGGAAGGGCACGAGGGATTCCCCTGGCTGCTCCGACTCCAGCAGCAGCCAAGGTGGGCTGAGACGGGAAGGTGATGCAGAGATTCCCTCTACCCCATCTCCCTGCCGTTGCAGGGC